AAGCAACTTCTGAGAGACTTAATTGGAAGCGAATAGAGTCTATTTGAAAAGAAAGCAGCTGCGTTGAAATGTTTCACTTTACTCCGTTGAGCATAATTTCTTCATAAAAACTGTATCACCTTCATAGTTCAAAAGTAAGTTAGAAGTATGATGCATCAAATACGTTCTCAACTTGAAATTTCATGTCCGTACGTTCCACTCGTCAGCAAATATCATTTTCAGAGTGTGTGATGATGAGAATCCAGTGATCAGTCGTAGAGAATGCGACAACTGTGCACCGTCAAATGTTCGTGCGCAAAAACGGAAGAAAGGACGTTACTGTGCAATTTGCGATCTCTATTTCAGGTGGCGTCTTCGTCGAAATTCAGTTTCCGTCCCACCGAATAATATCAATTTGCTGTCTCTAGAGGTCTCCATAGGGTCGTGGTCATTGTAATGAGATGAATTTCGCGCAGTTTCAACGCAAAAACGTTTCTGAATTGAGGAATTCAAACTTAGAGAATATCTTCGTGAGAAGTTTCGGAACTGATCTGAAACCACACTTAAAATCAATGGAACTTTATCTCTTCCTCAAAGTCATTTGCAAAATATCACAATATGGTTGTTGTGCATTTTAAAATGAAGAGTGCATTGTGTTGTGCGCATATCTGAAACTGAAATAAGTGAAAAATGCAGGAGGATGAAACGACCTCGTCCATACACTGTTCCGTTGAAGCAATCAGTCGATGACGACGAAGGTCTGTTCTGTTTATTGATCACTTCTCTGATTGACATTCGACGATTGATGATCGGTTGTTGTTCAGTTGATTGAGTGTTCAAATCATTCATCAAATAGTATGACTGTATCTGTATTTTTCTGGTCTGGCAAAAGAGAGCATTTTCAAAAGTTTATGAATATGTGGAATGTTATGAATTGGGCATATCTTATGCATCGATTCAAATAAGAAAACACCCTGGATTTAGAGTGTAATTTGTTGATATTGAGAGCACGAAAGGCTGACAAAAATGTGCCCGAGCAAGTATGTCACTTCACTCATTGCGTTCAGCCATAATTCTCTTGTTGGTTTACAATTAGTCAACTTTGTTCTCTCCTTTCAGGTGTGGTAACGGTCGATGGAATGGGTTCACCTCCACCAATAACTGGGTAAATCTGTAGAATATTCAACGGAATTTCAAGCATCCATCACCTAAAAAAACATCATGAGAGAATAAGCAATGCTTGATGAGTATTCTAGTCAGGAGAAAATTGTTTTCTAAAGGATTTACATAAGGACATATTGCTGCTTCATTTGTGCTATGAATAGAATTCATTACAAATTTTGGTGCTTCTGACGGATTGTTTTGCTGCATGCATGTCGACAGCACTGACTAATTTGTAATATGTGCTCATGGGTATTAGAGAGATCATTAGGAACTTTGGAAAGCCTCTGGTTTATTTTAAACAGACTACAGTTTAGCGACGATAAGATATGGTGTATAGCATCGGACGATAAGCACACTTGAGAATCGGGTAGTTGTGCTGTTTTGAGCACTACCACGTGCACTACTGAGCCAACTCTCCGAACTGTGACGACTGGAATGTTCTGAAAAAGAGCCATTTTACATCAAAATATCTCCGCTTTAGTTGAAATGCGAATGAAAAATTTCAGTCTAAAAACTGCGTGTCAAAAAAGTTCTTCACATGACTGCTCGTTCACATCATCGCATTATGCAAAAATTCGTCAACAGAATCTATCCCAATGGACTATAGATGAAGAGCTTGAAGCCCTCAAAGGTATTTCACCTCTTCGCATTATTCCTTCCACGTTCCATCTTACGATATTTACGAGCCGCGTCGTATCGACTGCGTTATGAATCGCTGAAAATTTCAACCAATTTCAGGATTTCATCGCTTTGGCAAAAACTTCAAAGCAATCTCGGAGTTGGTGAAAACGAAAACACCTGAAATGATACGACGTTTTTATGAGGATAAACAGTCAACGTTTCGCATAGAATATGTTAGTTGAATGTGTTATCGTACCGAATACTGCGATGAATTCGTGATGAATCGATTGGGATTCATCGCTTTTTGTGTCGAAAGAAAATAATGTGCTAATTTTATCGTCGTCGTTGTTGTTGTGAATTTCAGTCGGAACGTATATTTCATTGACAATTACGTTTTGATCTGAATAGCGAAAATTATGATCGTGACATTGCGATGCTATCATCACATCCAGCCCAGTTGGTGATGGTGATGACGAGCATAAGATGATGTTGAATGGTGCAGTAGTCAATTGGCAATTAATTTGCAGTTGATAAA